TCTCAATGCAGTAGCCCTGTCCTTTTAACCCAGCAGGGTTAAACACTCCTCTAGTGGCCAACATTTCAATGACTGGGTAAAAAACTTTGGCCAAGTGCGGCTCATAGATGGCTAACCTCATAGGGAGCAGGAGACTCACTACGAGGCGTTTAATAATATGTATGCATTGCAAAAAAATATACAGGCTAGAAAACCTGCAAACTCATAGTTTAAATAATAAAATGATGGCATTTTGGCAATTTTCCATTTAATAGTTGATGCTAACAAAAAGATTTTGTTGGTACAAGTATAACCGTGCCACTCTTTAAGTACAACTTTAACACTGCCTGTATTTTAGACACCTTAGATATCAATATGCAAGTATTTTTATTTTATGATTCCATACACAATGTGTGTTTCCAGCAATTAACGTTAAAACATGGCATTTAGAATTTATATAAATTGGTTTCTATGGTTTGCAGTGTTATGAGCAAACACAGGAAATCACAGAGATAAATTAAATGGAATGTTGTCTTCATTCTGCTATTCTGGCTCATTGATGCAAATTAGAACATTGCTTTTCCTGGAGAGGGTACAAAATTAGAATATTGCTTTGTTTTCTAAACTGGAGTCTCCATTTAACTCTTATTTCAAATGAGACATGGTATATATCAGTTCAAAATTCATATATTAATATGAATACAACAACCTCTTGGCTTGGTTCATAAGCTACTATCAGATCATTTTCTGTGCCCTAAAGACCCGTAGACCAGTGATTCGAAACACCTGGGTTGAGTCCCACAACTATGTACCTTTGCTTTTTGTTATAGGTCCCCAATGATTAGATAAAGCAGTTGGCATTAGAATCCAGGAAGCTTCCCACAATAAACTATGCTGACAATGCTTGTACAGTAACAAAGTGGAAAAGGATGTCCCATATAATGAGGATGTTTTGCATAATAAACACTGTGCAACATTATTTTTTGAGGAAATCTTTTACTTTACAGATGCCATGTACATGACTTAAAGCGGCACTGTCATGCCGAATCCCGTTTTTTTTTTTTAACCCCCCTCCCGCCTCCACTACATCCAATTGACCCACTAGTCACCCCCAAATACCCCTAAGCCCCTCAGATTACCTCTTTTTAAATCTTTATTTTCTGCCCCGATCTATATTCAGGGCGCCGCCATCTTTGTGTGGGTAGGTGAAGTCCCTGTGGGACACGTCATCAGCCCACACCAGACAGACTGTGAGATTCCCGCACATGCCCAGTGAAACACCTGGACATGCGAACGGGAATTTCATCCATTCATTCATCAGACAGACGAATGAGTGAATAGAAATATCAGCCGAACAAACAAACACTATGTATCAGTGTATGTTTGTTCGTGCAGGTTATTACAAGGAGGGAGCTACCGGCACGCAGCTCCCTCCTTGTAATATGTAACTATAGAAGCGGCAGGGAGCAGTGCTCTCCACCACTTCATAAGCCCCCCAGGTCCCCCTCTCACTCTATGGGGTCAATATGACCCCCATACTAGCACAAGGGAGATTAAAATCTCCCAAATGCCCCTACTCGCTATACCGCTTTTATGTTTTTACTGTCCCTTTCAACTGCTGACATTGCAATGCAAATTCGCAATGACAAGTGAAAAGGACTTGAGAATAGTTCTGTAGTTTGTCTGTAACTATTCCCAAGTCCTTTTCACTTGTCATTGCGAGTTTTTAACCTTTTTGAGTATAAATGTTAGAGCATTCTTCATTCCAAAATGCATAACTTTGCATTTATCAACATTAAATCTCAGCTACCACTGGCTGCACATTTCCCTAATTTATCCAAATCCTTGTGCGGCAAAGTAATATCCGTGACACACAACCTTCAGTAGCCATTGCAAGATGGTTATTAAAGTGATGTGACCCAGCACAGACCCCCTTAGGGATTTCCGTTACCGCTTTCGTTCAACTTTGTTCAAAGTTTTTATTAACTATTCTTTGTTAGGCAATTTTGAAATCCAAGAACCAGATTGTTTTGGCAGGGGTATTTTATATCTCCTGTGCCTATAAGAAATCCAGCTCACTGCAGGGATTTTTTAGTATCGTAGAAAACAGATTTACTAAAAATATTAAATGCATTTCTAATGATAATCCTACCATAGATGGACAAATTGTTAGTAAAAATGTGTCAGGTGCACATAGTTGGCAAGTGTCTCAATTTTGTTCGCATTCTCTAAGCAGAATCCAGTGGGTTCTAAAAGAACATAACTTTATTACGTTATGCTTATTTTATATGTAGTTGTATACATACATTTCTTCAAAATGGAAAACTTTGTGTCAGATTGTCCCATCAGAACGAAAAGGCAAATATATTGATGAGCTGTTCCTTAGCAGGTCTACAGAGCATGGTTGAAGAGCGTTCCTTCTAGAAGGTAAATTACCATGTTGTAAAATGGACCACATTCTTGAGTGACATGTTCACTTCTTAGAATATATTTTTATTTCCTTATACTCATGACAAATCTTATCTAAGTTATGTTTTATATGGCAGAACAGTACAATGTATATCTTTATTGGGGTGTAAGCCAGCTCCAGTGCTCGCAGCCCTTGATTGATGGCCTAATTTGTACAGATAATGTGGAAGTGAGGGTTCCATATTGTCTCGGTAACAGAGAAGCAGCAATGCTTTGAGTGCTGAGATGGATTGGAAGAACTGCACCTATTGACTTTTTGCACTATAGCCGTTACAATAGGCCGTAGTACTTATGGTGCGCACTGTATCCCTTTAACATGCATAGTTCCAGCAAAGTATAGATGCTGTGTGAGGTGCGTGTATACACAAGATACTTTAAGACAAAACCTTTAAACAAGGTTAATGTCAAATAATATGTACCTAGGTAGTAGTAATGTTGTTGCTATATACAAGAACACGCAGCAACGGCATATTAAACTCTTGTATACTTTCATAGGTACAGATTATATTGTTGCCCTTTGCTCTCAATTAAAATGCGCAAACAAAGGTGCTTTCTTTGTCTAGAATCTTGCTACTTCACAGCAGTGTCTCTTTTCTAATCTCAGCTAGTGTCACCTGGTTTTGTTTACTGCATTAATTGTGTTCTGTGCACAGATAGGAATAGGGAGCCATGATAGAATTTCATGTGTGTTTCATTATTCCATAGTCTCTGGTTTGCTGTGTAATGCCCCACACAGTAAATGTGAATGTACTGTTTTTCAAGTTTAGTCTTATTTAGGAAGTCATTTCATATTTGCTGTGAAACCGATTGGAGAAGAAACAGATTGCATTTTCAACCCAGTTTTTCATAGCTTTGGATATATTTCAGAATTGTGGCAACTGACATTTAATGTGGATAAGTGCAAGATAATGCATCTTGGACGTAAAAACCCAAGGGCAGAGTACAGAATATTTGATAGTCCTAACCTCAACGTAAGAGGAAAGGGATTTAGGGGTGATTATTTCTGATGACTTAAAGGTAGGCAGACAATGTAATAGAGCAGCAGGAAATGCTAGCAGAATGCTTGGTTGTATAGGGAGAGGTATTAGCAGTAGAAAGAGGGAAGTGCTCATGCCATTGTACAGAACACTGGTGAGACCTCACTTGGAGTATTGTACACAGTACTGGAGACCGTATCTTCAGAAGGATATTGATACCTTAGAGAGGGTTCAGAGAAGGGCTACTAAACTGGTTCAGGGATTGCAGGATAAAACTTACCAGGAAAGGTTAAAGGATCTTAACATGTATAGCTTGGAGGAAAGACGAGACAGGGGGGATATGATAGAAACATTTAAATATATAAAGGGAATCAACACAGTAAAGGAGGAGACTATATTTAAAAGAAGAAAAACTACCACAACAAGAGGACATAGTCTTAAATTAGAGGGACAAATGTTTAAAAATAATATCAGGAAGTATTACTTTACTGAGAGGGTAGTGGATGCATGGAATAGCCTTCCAGCTGAAGTGGTAGAGGTTAACACAGTAAAGGAGTTTAAGCATGTGTGGGATAGGCATAAGGCTATCCTAACTATAAGATAAGGCTAGGGACTAATGAAAGTATTTAGAAAATTGGGCAGACTAGATGGGCCGAATGGTTCTTATCTGCTGTCACATTCTATATTTTTGGATTCTCTAAGGAAATGTCTGGTTTCCTGTAAACCATGCTAATAGTTTTAATTTTTTGTGTGTGTGTAAAATGTTTAAATGTGCAAAGTATCTCCATATTCTTGGTTTCATTTTGTATTGATGCGATTTTTAGTTCATGGCGTATAATTGAAAATGCTTGATTTAAAAACCCTGTGAAATGATCTTAACACAGACCGAATGCAACTATGCTCTTATGGATTCTTAACTAAATTTCGGAAGGCTACTTTTACTTTTTCATTGAGACAGTCCGTTTTATAACTACGAGCACCTCACTACCTTTTTGTTTTATTCACTTCATTTTTTTTTTTCCCCATCAAAGTTTATATTTTCAGTCATTTTGAATTATACCAAGTCAACGGATTAAAATGCTGGGCTGCCTTCACAAACCAGCCTTCAAATTCCTCGAATTAAAAAAATAAATAAAAAAAGCAATGTCAATCAGGCAGTATAGAACTGCAAATGCCGTAGATTATTGCATGGGGATTTTAGGGACCACATTGTGACATGAAATATCATTGGTTTGTAAGCGTTTACTCTCCAAGCACCATAGCCAATTCAGTTTGCCGAAGCCAAGGATCCACTCTGTGCAGTGTTTAGTATGAATCTCTGCCAATCGTTGAGGTATTTACTTTTTTTGCCAGTGTGTAGGTCCACCGCCATCTTCTTTCATTTGGCCAGATTAAAGTTTTATTTCCTGCCTGGCTACTTTTGTAATCATGCCAAATGCATAACTGTGGGCTAAGATCTCTCCTGCCAGGAGAATGAACCAAGCTATATAATTCACACGTATAGACCAAAAGATTAGCGTAGCCCAAATTACCAGTCCGGAATTAGGCTGTGTGTAAACTGCAGTATTGCTCACCATGCTGTGCAGAGGTTTATGGCATAAGAGGTTCTTCCAGGTGTGGGAGAGTTCCATCTGCAGCCAGGTAGATCCACGAAACCGCGCATGCACAGATGGAAACTTTAATGAAAAAACTGGAATTGAAAACGGGTAATATATCATATCTCAACATTTATTCAAGGTCAAAATCATGCCAGTATTTACACCATGTTTTTGGTTTGTGTAAAACATGCTTGGTATCTCTATGTATAGGGAACAGTTTTATAAGGAGAAGTTCTCTGACAGTATTTTATTTCCCTGTTGAGCACGACTTTTATGTCCCCAGCCTTTGTATTTATGAGTCTTTCCAGGCCAAGGATAGAAAATCATAATCTGTTTATATGTTAACATCTTTATAGCTAGAACTTTTTATTCATAAGGAGTTATGTTGGGAATCGCCTGCATGTTTGATGGATTACTTAATGCCATAAGATTAATATTAAACTTGAGCCTGCAGGTATTTAACTGGATACTTACGTTAGACTCTGTTTGTGTGTAAAAAAAAAAAAAAAAAAATTTTTTAATTGCTTTGTAAAGATTACCTTTATAATTTTACTTGACACTGGCATCATGAATTCTCCATGGGCATCAAAAGGTTTCAGTTAAGGTGGAACATTCAAATAAGGTTCAGTCTCACCTACCTCTACTGTCTCATCTTTTCTCACTGTTTTATTCTTTTAACTGCTCCTTATTCATTTGAAATACAAACTCTGGATATAAAAAGCACATCACATTCCATAGGTATGCATAGTCTAGCTTATGGAAGATTTATGATATTGTTTTACACATACAAAATGTTACGTGTGGAGAAACACTCAATATAACAACAACCTCAAATTAGGGTGCTATTCCTTGAAGGTACTCCCTCAAATACCAACACAATTAATAATCAATAACAAAGAATGCACACCATATGATACAAAAGTATCGATCTATCTATATTTATTTATTACAATAGAAGTACAAACCATACATAAATAATAGAACAGTGACTTCCTAGGCTATCAATCTCCAAAAATACATATTTACCACATTCCACAAACCTATATGGGCAGAAACACGAGTCACAAATAGTCCCCCAACGTTTCGGCTCCTCCTGGTAGCCTTGATAAAGGTAGCCTTGATAAAGGTAGCCTTGATAAAGGTAGCCTTGATAAAGGTAGCCTTGATAAAGGTAGCCTTGATAAAGGTAGCCTTGATAAAGTCTGCCTTGATAAAGTCTGCCTTGATAAAGTCTGCCTTGATAAAGTCTGCCTTGATAAAGTCTGCCTTGATAAAGTCTGCCTTGATAAAGTCTGCCTTGATAAAGTCTGCCTTGATAAAGTCTGCCTTGATAAAGTCTGCCTTGATAAAGTCTGCCTTGATAAAGTCTGCCTTGATAAAGTCTGCCTTGATAAAGTCTGCCTTGATAAAAGTCTGCCTTGACAGAGTCTGCCTTGATAAAGGTCTGCCTTGGTAAAGTCTGCCTTGATAAAGTCTGCCTTGATAAAGTCTGCCTTGATAAAGTCTGCCTTGATAAAGTCTGCCTTGATAAAGTCTGCCTTGATAAAGTCTGCCTTGATAAAGTCTGCCTTGATAAAGTCTGCCTTGATAAAGTCTACCAGGAGGAGCCGAAACGTTGGGGGACTATTTGAGACTCGTGTTTCTGCCCATATAGGCTTGTGGAATGTGGTAAATATGTATTTTTGGAGATTGATAGCCTAGGAAGTCAGTTATATTACCCTGTTTCCCCGAAAATAAGACCTACCCCGAAAATAAGCCCTAGCTGGATTATCGGGGTGGGCTGCAATATAAGCCCTACCCCGAAAATAAGACCTAGGCATGGCCGGCGGCTGACGGCCCTTTAAATGCCTCAGCCGCCTGAGCACTCCATAGAGAGCGCTCAGACGGCTGCCGCACTGCCTCACCTCACCTCCCCTGTAGCGTGGCCGAGCTCCTTTCCGGTCCACGACCCACCCGGACTGACAGGAAGTGCACACTGGGTGTGCACTTCCTGTCAGTCCGGCCGGATCGCGGACCGGAGAGGAGCTCGGCCACGCTACAGGGGAGGTGAGGAGAAGATTGGAGGGGGGGGAGTATTACAGGGAGGGAGGGGGGATAATATTACAGGGAGGGAGGGGGGAGAATATTACAGGGAGGGAGGGGAGAATATTACAGGGAGGGAGGGAGGGGATAATATTACAGGGAGGGAGGGAGGGGAGAATATTACAGGGAGGGGGAGGTGAGGGTCTCTGGGGGGTTACACAGCGCTGACACCGGCTGACAGACTGGCTCTAAGCCCTACCCTGAAAATAAGCCCTAGTGTGTTTTTTGTGACTAAAATTAATATAAGACCCGGTCTTATTTTCGGAGAAACACGGTATTTATGTATGGTTTGTACTTATATTGTAATAAATAAATATAGATAGATACTTTTGTATCATATGGTGTGCATTCATTGTTATTGATTAATTGTTTTACACATAACCATTGACTGTGCATTTTATTGCCTTTAATCTCTGTAGGTGACACACATCACAATATTATTCCTATCTGATTTGCTTTATAGTCTATCATCTGTGATCCCTTGGGTCTCTCCAACTGTGAGCAGCTGTCTGCCAATAATTCAAAGTAAACATGAAGATTACAGTAATGATTAGCATAAACGTGGGAAATATGATCCATTTTTAAGCTACTGAAATTTGCATTAGCACCAGATTTCTAAAAATGTTATCGAAAAGTTTTTAACCATTTCAACTCCAATGTAACTGTGCACGCCAAAGAAATCTGTTTCTCAATCCATGGTCCATAAAAGTGCTACTTTAACAGAGAAGCATTTGACTTGTCACCTGATGGGGAGATATACTTGCTTTAAGCTGTCGTCCTGTTTGCCTTCATTTTCTTGCCGTCCTATTGCTTCAGGAGAAAAAAATAAGTGATTTTGTTTACCTTTCTTGCACCCGCATGCCAATCTCCGTGCAGCAATTCTGATGATCTCAACCAATCCAGTGTTTCTCCGTGGGGTAACATTGGGAGACTAGTGCTCATGTACGGTAAATTGCCGATTTGCAACTATCAGCATCGCCTCATAGAAATGCAGAGTTAATGCATCTCTATGGGGAGCATTCAGTCTCTTCATTCAGAGAATGGAGATGCTGAATGTTGGTCCTGCGATCTTTGCAGGACCAAACTCAGGAAGACACTCTAGTGACTATCTGAGTGACAGCCACAAGAGGTGGTCATGGGCAGCAGTGTGAACATGTAGGGGTTCTGGTGCTTATAGCATCCCTATAATATGAGTATGCATGATGCAGTCAGAAAACTGCTTCGCTAAATCATCATTGATGTGTGTTATGCTCTAATGAAGGCCATTATGGTGTTGAGAACCCTCTGTGTCCATGTTTAAATCTGGCACTGTCACGCTATTATGTGTATGTTGGTATTCGGCTCTGTATCTCACCTGTATGCTGAAGCTCCACTGAAATCTTTGTGCTTCCTCAAAAACTGCAAAACTAGTTTAGATTTTATTTCCATGTGTTTCTTTTGCAAAAGGGAGCCTGGATGAGGACTTCATTCATGGTTTTGAATAAGTGTGAGATAAAATGTTATATGAGCTATACATTTGTTAGAATTATTCATCGAAAAATATGTTCTGAACGAAACAAACCTTTTTGTAACACAATATATGTGCAATAGCCCCATAGCAGGTAATTTTGGATTGATCCTTAGTCACACCACTTTCTTGAAATTAAGGGGAGTAGGAATGAGAGATGCTAATACATTTTAAGTATATTGTGAGATTTACCAAGAGGATGTTTACTTCTAACAAGAAATACATTCTCCTTTGTTTCTGTGTGAGGAAAAGTCATTTATTTTAACCCATTTATGGGGTTAGTCCAATCCTGATGCCTTCCTTGAAGGCTAAATATGTGAGTACAATTTTAAAAAAAATGTTTTAACATTCTTTATAGGGACACTCCAGGCACCCAGACCACTTCTGCCCATTGAAGTGGTCTGGGTGCCAACTCCCATCACCCTTAAAGGATCACTATAGGGTCAGGAACACAAACATGTATTCCTGACCCTGTAGTGTTAAAACCACCATATAGCCCCCCAGGCCCTCTCATGCCTCCCTTAAATTAGCAAAATCTTACTTGTATTCAAGCCTGAAGCTGAAGCTCTGAATGCTGTTTGCCTCAGAAAAACAAGCTGTCTACTGACATCATCAGAAGTGGTGGCCTGATCCAATCACAATGCTTCTCCATAGGATTGGCTGAGACTGACAAGGAGGCAGATAAGGGGCAGAGCCAGCACAATTCAAACACAGCCCTGGCCAATCAGCATCTCCTCATATAGAAACCTAGAATGTGACGGCAGATAACCATTTGGCCCATCTAGTCTGCCCAATTTTCTAAATACTTTCATTAGTCCCTAGCCTTATCTTATAGTTAGGATAGCCTTATGCCTATCCCACGCATGCTTAAACTCCTTTACTGTGTTAACCTCTACCACTTCAGCTGGAAGGCTATTCCATGCATCCACTACCCTCTCAATAAAGTAATACTTCCTGATATTATTTTTAAACCTTTGTCCCTCTAATTTAAGACTATGTCCTCTTGTTGTGGTTTTTCTTCTTTTAAATATAGTCTCCTCCTTTACTGTGTTGATTCCCTTTATGTATTTAAATGTTTCTATCATATCCCCCCTGTCTCGTCTTTCCTCCAAGCTATACATGTTAAGATCCTTTAACCTTTCCTGGTAAGTTTTATCCCGCAATCCATGAACCAGTTTAGTAGCCCTTCTCTGAACCCTCTCTAAGGTATCAATATCCTTCTGAAGATACGGTCTCCAGTACTGTGTACAATACTCCAAGTGAGGTCTCACCAGTGTTCTGTACAATGGCATGAGCACTTCCCTCTTTCTACTGCTAATACCTCTCCCTATACAACCAAGCATTCTGCTAGCATTTCCTGCTGCTCTATTACATTGTCTGCCTACCTTTAAGTCATCAGAAATAATCACCCCTAAATCCCTTTCCTCATATGTTGAGGTTAGGACTCTATCAAATATTCTGTACTCTGCCCTGCACTTATCCACATTAAATGTCAGTCGCTACAACTCTGACCATTTTTCTAGTTTGCCTAAATCATTTGCTATTTGGCTTATCCCTCCTGGAACATCAACCCTATTACATCAACCCTGTTACATATCTTAGTATCATCAGCAAAAAGACATACCTTACCATCAAGACCTTCTGCAATATCACTAATAAAAATATTAAAGAGAATGGGTCAAAGTACAGATCCCCGAGGTACCCCACTGGTGACAAGCCCAAGTTTCGAATATACTCCATTGACTACAACCCTCTGTTGCCTGTCACTCAGCCACTGCCTTACCCATTCAACAATATTGGAATCTAAACTTAAAGATTGCAGTTTATTGATAAGCCGCCTTTGTGCAACAGTGTCAAGCCTTACTGAAATCTAGGTAAGCAATGTCTACCACCCTGATCTATAATTTTAGTTACCCAATCAAAAAAATCAATAAGATTAGTTTGGCATGATCTCCCTGAAGTAAACCCATGTTGTCTCTGATCTTGAAATCCATGTGTTTTTAGATGTTCAACAATCCTATCCTTTAACATGGTTTGCATCACTTTCCCCACTACTGAAGTAAGGCTTACTGGCCTATAGTTGCCTGACTCCTCCCTATTACCTTTCTTGTGAATGGGCACAACATTCGCTAACTTTCAATCTTCTGGGACTACTCCTGTTAACAATGATTGGTTAAATAAATCTATTAATGGTTTTGCTAGTACACCACTAAGCTCTTTTAATAGCTTTGGGTGTATTCCATCAGGTCCCATTGACTTATTTGTCTTTACTTTTGACAGTTGAAATAGAACCTCTTCCTCTGTAAACTCACGTGTAATAAATGACTCATTTATCCTTTTTCTTAACTGAGGTCCCTTTCCTTCATTTTAATCTGTAAATACTGAACAAAAATATTGAGGCAGTCAGCTAGACCTTTATCCTCTTCTACATACCTTCCTTTTGTTTTTAATCTAACTAATCCTTATTTTACTTTTCTTTTCTCATTTATGTAGCTAAAAAAAGTTTTGTCCCCTTTTTTTTTACTGACTGTGCTATTTTCTCTTGTGTGTGTGATTTGGAAGCTCTTATAACTTGCTTAGCCTCTTTCTGCCTAATCTTTTTTTTTTTTTTATATAATTACTAAATGCTAACTTTTTGTTTTTTACTATTTTGGCCACATCTGCGCAGTACCACAGTGGTTTCTTGAATTTTTTGCTTTTACTGACAAGCCTAATGCAATTTTCTGTTGCCTTCAGTAGTGCAACTTTTAAATAATCCCATTTTTCTTGAACTCCATTTAAATTGCTCCAGTCTGATAATGACTCCTTTATATATTACACATTCTAATTTTAGAAAAGTCTGTTTTTCTAAAGTCTAAACTTTTGTTTTTGTGTGGTGTGACTCAGTCACTGTTCTTATATTAAACCACACTGATGATCACTGGATACTAAACTTTCACATACAGTAATATCTGATACCAAATCTCTATTTGTTAACACTAAATCTAGTATGGCCTCTTTACGAGTTGGCTCCTCAACGACTTGTTTTAGAGACAATCCCAGTAGGGAGTTTAGAATATGTGTGCTCCTGGCACAAGCAGCTATTTTTGTTTTCCAATTCACAAGGGGAGGTTAAAGTCACCCATGATGATAACTTCGCCCTTCATTGTCATTTTAGCTATTTCCTCAACTAGTAGATTATCTAACAATTCTATTTGTCTTGGGGGCCTATAAATCACACCTATACGAGTTACTGTGTGATTACCAAATTCTAACGTAACCCAAACAGACTCACTAACTTTTATTATGCTAGATTTTATGCTATCCTTCACATACAGGGGCACCCCTCCCACTTTCTTGCCTTCCCTGTCTTTTCTATATAAAGAGTACCCTGGTATTGCTATGTCCTAGTCATTTTTCTCATTATACCATGTCTCAGTAACAGCGACTAAATCTACATTATCAGTTGCCATTATTGCCACAAGTTCATGGATCATATTCCCTGGACTGCCAGCATTTGTAGACATGACTCTAAGCTTATCATTTTTTTAACACACTTGCTTACAGGTACCTTCTGTCCTTGTTTTGGTGGACAATTGGATTGATGTTTTATCATCCTTTTGCCCCCCCCCACCCCCCTGTTTAAATACATCCTAGCAAAACCTCTGAACTGCTCACTGAGAAATTTTGTTTGAGAAAGATGCAAACCATCTTTTTTGTACAGTCTTTCCATTCCAAACAGAGCTACCATGAGAGAGCCAAATCCTTGCTCCCGACACCATTCACCAAGCCACAAGTTAAAGTCCCTAATACGCAACCGCCTGTCGTTGTGAGTGTTATGCACAGGCAGAACTTCAGAGAATGACAGTGTGGAAGCAACCTGCCGTATATCATTGGCAAAAACACTAAAAACTTCCTTAACCTCTGAAACCTCATTGCAAGCCAAGTCATTTGTCCCTAGATGGACAAGTACATCCAATTCCCTTTCCTGCTTTTCTCGCTTAACAATGAATCTCTCTGAGGAAAGTTCAGTGTCTGCATGCAGAGGGAGGAGACACTGAATGTTTGGATGCATTTTAGGCAGCCACGACCCAGGAAGGATCTCTTGCAGCCATCTGAGGAGTGGCCAGTGAAGTTAACACTAGGCTGTAATGTAAACACTGCATTTTCTCTGACAAGACAGTGTTTACAGCAAAAAGCCTGAAGGTAATTCTACTCACCAGAACAAATTCAATAAGCTGTAGTTGTTCTGGTGACTACAGTGTCCCTGTAACCCTGCAAGTGTAATGATTGCAGTTTTTATAAACTGCAATAATTACCTTGCAGGGTTAAGTCCTCCCCTAGTGACGGTCTATCAGACAGCCACTAGAGGGACTTCAGGGTTTTTAAAACCCAGAAAAGTGTTTTAAACTACGCTGTACGTCCTCACGCTATGCATGAGGACTTCCAGTGTCACCGAAATCCCCATAGCAAAGCATTGAATAATGCTTTTGTGGGCGTGGCCATTGCCGCGTATTCAGTCTCCCCCCCCCACTGATGTCAGGAAAGTGGGCGGAGCCTGACCCAGGTAAGTCACTGAAGGGGTTTTAACACTGGAGGGGGGCACTGACGGATCCTGCAGTGCCAGGAAAATGGGTTTGTCACTTTAAATTTGGACCCTGTAGAGTCCCTGAAAATTTGTTTACATTTTTCTTTTTATGACTTTACAAAATTATTTTATTTATTTTCTCTGCCTCGTAAAAAAAAAAGACAGTTCCGTTTGACCTCAATGTTTTTCTTTTTGTTTGAGAGGGTTAAAAAGTCTCCACGCCACCATCCAACACCATCTCTGGACTTGCGTGGTCCAATAAAATGTTTTTAACAGAGAAGCATTTGACTAGACTATTTTATTGACTCAGGCTGCAGAGCTGTGGTAGAAGGAGCTTGCAGTGCCAGTGGAAGCAGCCTCACAAGTTGTTGTAGCATGAAAGGGATGGTAAAAATTGTTACGCACTGGGTGTTGAATTGGACTTAATGAACTTGCTGCCACTATCCTGAGAATAAATACTACTAATAGTTGTGGCTGCCATGTCAGAGGCATCAGCAGTCTTCACTGTAGAGGTGTTCCAGCTCTCAGAAGCTATGGCCCAATTTTAGCTTGGGGTTAGTACGTGATATTGATGATGATGAGTTTGTTTTTCTCATTACAATAACTTGGGTAAGGTATTTGAATCATTGTGTAAAGTAACTTTTTATAGAGCAAAAATAGGTTTTGACGTTTGTGTTGTGAAATGGGTTGTTGCTTGGTGGAGTTGCTATTGCAAAGTTATTGTGTTCGACATTAAAGGACCACTATAGTGCCAGGAAAACAAACTTGTTTTCCTGGCACTATAGTGCCCTGAGGGTGCCCCCTCCCGCCCGGCTCTGGAAAGGGGTAAAAACTTACCTTTTTCCAGCGCTGGGCGGGGAGCTCTCCTCCTCCGATCCTCCTCCTCTCCGCCCATTCGGCTGAATGAGCACGCGCGGCAAGAGCTGCGCGCGCATTCAGCCGGTCGCATAGGAAAGCATTTACAATGTATTTCTATGGACGCTTGCGTGCTCTCACTGTAATTTTCACAGTGAGAATGACGCAAGCGCCTCTAGCGGCTGTCAATGAGACAGCCGCTAGAGGCTTTTGGGGGAAGGATTAACCCATTTATAAACATAGCAGTTTCTTTGAAACTGCTATGTTTATAAAAAAAAAAAATGGGTTAACGCTAGCTGGACCTGGCACCCAGACCACTTCATTAAGCTGAAGTGGTCTGGGTGCCTAGAGTGGTCCTTTAAACACTGCACAAGTGCTCACACATTTGCACCACCCACCTTGTCCCGAACATAAAAAATAGTATATTCTTTCTCCAAACGGTTAACAAAAACAACTTTTAGCACCTGAAAGCTTGTCTCACACTTGGATCAATGAGCCAGGCTAAGCAAATGTTTGTTTGTTTTTTCTCTGATACTACAGTCCACAAAAGAGGCATTTATTTTCTTCCAAACAGTTAACAAAAAAGGTGTATTTTTAAAATAGTCTCACTAATATCAATGACAAAATGCCTACCAATCTCCTATCTCCCACTCATTTGCTTCTAGTGCTCTTGGCAATACAGCATGAAGCTAAACCTAGTCTTTCTCTCATTATCATCAGTGACACAGACATCTACTCCAACATAGCCACAGCAAAAAAAAAAAAACACACAGGATCATTGCTTGTCTGACTCCCATCAATAGCTAAAGTCAGTGTCTAGAAGAATCCTACTTGGAAGTACAGTTGTTCTATAGCTTCTCCCTTTTCTCGTCTGCTGGCTTCTTCACTTGATCTGTGAATAAAAGAATAATAATTTAGTGGCTGTCCACTAATCATTAATTGTAATTAATTACAATTATTTATTTGGTACCTCTTGGTTAGACAGCAGATCTAGCCCTAGTGAATGGTTAGACCTCCATGTGAATCGAAGTGAAATGCCCCCTGAATCACGAATGAAAACAGCATGTTTGGACCTGCACAAGACTGCATACATTCCAAAATTAATCTCCAAGTCTAGATCGTATTCAAATGTAAAGTCTGAATTCAAACATACATTCTATAAAGAAGTATTAACGAACCTCCCTTAGGCACTGTGATAAGGGACGCCTCTAGAAATGTTCGTGATCAATGTATCTATATAGACTTGTTTTCTTTTTGTTTGGATTTTTTTTATTGATTTTTTTTTTTTTTTTGTATGTTACCACATTGCTCAAAGAATCACCATTGACATCCTTGGGCAGTTTTGTATTGATTTATTTCGGATGTTGCAAGATCACGAACAGTGCTTTGCAATTTGCATGTTTGTGTGGCATTAAAGGAACACTATAGTCACCTAAATTACTTTAGCTAAATAAAGCAGTTTTAGTGTAAAGATCATTCCCCTGCAATTTCACTGCTCATTTCACTGTCATTTAGGAGTTAAATCACTTTGTTTCTGTTTATGCAGCCCTAGCCACACCTCCCCCGGCTATGATTGACAGCGCCTACATGAAACCAAAACTGGTTTCACTTTCAAATAGATGTAATTTACCTTAAATAATTGTATCTCAATTTCTAAATTGAACTTTAATCACATACAGGATGTTCTTGCAGGGTCTATCAAGCTATTAACATAGCAGGGGATAAGAAAATCTTAATTAAACAGAACTTGCAATAAAGAAAGCCTAAATAGGACTCTCTTTACAGGAAGTGTTTATGGAAGGCTGTGCAAGTCACATGCAGGGAGGTGTGACTAGGGTTCATAAACAAAGGGATTTAACTCCTAAATGGCAGAGGATTGAGCAGTGAGGCTGCAGGGGCATGTTCTATACACCAAAACTGCTTCATTAAGCTAAAGTTGTTCAGGTGACTATAGTGTCCCTTTAAGTAATTTTACAGTGAAAGCAATGGTTATTTTTTTTAAAAATGTATCTTTCTTTTATTTGATTTTTTTTATTGTAATTATCTATTTATTTTTTCCCCAAAACTATACCTTGGAAGCTATTGCTATTTTGAAGTAGACAGCTGTTATTGAATTATATGGTAACAAATTAGACAAGGTTTCAGGAAGACAGAGAATTGTTCAAATGATTCCGCACGACTTTTAAAGGTTGATGCTTTGTTGTAAGGTAATGTGTTCCAGTGTGATTGATGTTGGATATATTTCCATGTTCTAGGTGCACCAGAGACTTCCTGCATGGCTCAGCCAAAGAGTAGTGTTTTGCAGCAGTACAGCATCGCCCTCTAATGGTAAGTAGAATTATTGTTAACTTTAAATTATTTTGTAATAGGCTTTTTTATTTTAATCCACCCAGCCTCCCTTTGGTAGAGCTGTTTTAAAAAAAATTTTTTTAATGTTTTTTGTGTAACAATATTTGTCATGTGTATTCGTAGTGTATTAATGTATAAATTACATCATCCTTATATTTCTTCTCTTTTCATTTTAGATGTAACTGTGATTTACCAAAACGGGTTACCTGTGATCTCTGTTAGCCTTCCTTCCCGACGGGAAAGGTGCCGATTTACCCTCAAGCCCATCTCTGACTCAGTTGGAGTATTTTTGCAGCAGCTCCAGGCAGAGGATCGAGGGATAGACAGAGTTGCGATCTATTCAACAGGTACTTGGGGTTAAATTAATGTGAGGGACAATTCTTGACTACAAAAAGTAATCTGGGCGAGCCACAATTGAAGTCTAAAAGTAAAGATACAAGTCCGTGTTGTAAAGCACTCGAACTGGTAGAAACCTAATCAGACATTGTCAGGGTTCCACAGATACCATTTTGTAATTATGGAAAATAATAAAATATAAAGTATGGCTAGTATTCCATAGTTTTTAATGATGCAGTTGTTTTCTTATTGCAGCCACAATAAAAAAAATCATGTATCGGTTGGGTACAGTCAAACTAAATGTATCTTTCAAAAATGAGATGAAAATGTTTAGCAGGGTAATGAGTTATATTTAAAAAAAGGAAAAATCATTCAGCGTGAGCCTGCAACATTACCTTATAATAGATTTCTATAATATGTTCTGTTGTTTGAAAGTTGTCCAACGTTGTCCCTTTGCTCTTGACAGACTTTAGTTCTGAGAATTGTAACCATACCATGTCACTCCACTTGTTAGCTTGATGTTGAAACCTTGGCAGATCTTACATGCATAATCTTTTATTCCAGATGGGGCCCGTATGGCTGCTTCCACAGGAATTGAAGTTCTTCTTTTGGATGACTTCACACTGTCCATAAATGATAACACTTACCTTGTGCGACCACCAAAAAGAGGTACAGCATTGCTGCTTTAGTATCAAATAGACAATTTATTTAGGATTACTATATTCACATGATTACATAAGATAAACAGGTTGTGAAATGCACCCTAAAAATGTTTTACCAAGTGAATAAAAAGAAAAGCAAAACATTTTTAATTTTTAACAAAGTAAAATAGGGTTATTTTTTTTTCTTCAATGGGTGCTGTGGCCCTTATAATTTAATTGACACATGAAATTGAACTATACAAATATCACATTCTATGCCCAGAATAAAGGGTTACTAGTAGACCAGTAGGTGTTCTCTCGTTGTCTCTGGATAAGCTGTTCTGGTTTTCAGAAATATTGGTGGATTCATGGACTAGCCAAACCATATGGCCAGCTCACATGAGTATTTGAGGAAGATAAATAAGGAAGAACCTTTATTTGTGTCCAGAACTTTTAAGCCATGAAGACGCAACGACACTGAATGACCTGAAAACCCTAGTGCAGCAACTGTACAGTACACTTCGGATTGAAGAACACCAACTCAATAAGGAGCGGGAGCTGAATGGGCGGTTAGAGGACCTTCGAGGGCAGCTAGAACCTCTTGAAAAGGTAAATAAATCTTACTTACCAGAACTAAAGACCAGTTAAGTTTCAGTTAATTGTATTGATGTTTTCACTAGAATACCTAATAAGGTTTCAGATTATTTCCATACTTATTGAATCCCGATGTTTACGATAGGAGAGGAATTAACGTTACACAATGCTGTAGAAGTGGTGAAACCCAATGCAATCATTTTTTTGGGGACCATCGCCTATAGAGTAGTAATGGCCAAAATGTAGATCCTCTAATCCATATACCTCCATCCATTCAATCCTTCCTGTCTCTCTCCATTTCATGTTATATTCCTTCCACCTGTCTTTCCAGCACTCCATCATCTCTATTTTTATTTCCACTGGAAACTGTACTGTAGCTTGCCAAGTGGAATGCGCTGGGCACATGGTTCACTCTTCACGGTGATGTCCTAAATGTAGATAGTCTGGAATCTGTCTCTCATCTTACACATTCTGTCCACACCAGAACAGCAGAGAGTGCAGGATCAGTAATCCTGTCTTCATTTTCTGTGTGTTTAGATTCTTATAATGTGATATAAATACTAATATTTTGTTGCCCCAGCTATCCCTTGCCTTTCAGAGCAGACTTCACATTGCTTTATATAAGCTATTGCCCTTTAGGGGGTCTGTGTAAAATGAGATGGCACAAAGAGTGAAAAGTTATTTGTGCCAGGATTGCTTTCAGTTGATTTAACAGTGCACTTACTTGCCATTCAATGCTTATTAAACAATACATCATTAAACAAATATTATTGTATAACAGGTTCGTCTTGAGATCAGCCGAAAAGCAGAGAAGCGAACTACATGGGTGTTGTGGGGGGGCATGGCGTATATGGCTACTCAGTTCGGAATTCTCGCCCGTCTGACGTGGTGGGAATACTCCTGGGATATTATGGAACCGGTCACCTATTTTATCACGTATGGCAGTGCCATGGCCATGTATGCCTACTTTGTGCTAACACGGCAGGTAAGTTGTACATAAAATTTATTTTGATATCTAGAACATATCCGGCAGTGGTAGTTATAATGGTTGATCTAGACAGGTCTAGAAGTAGAGAAGGAGGTACGGCAGACACATATGGAATTGTTCTTGGTTGAGATAAGTCGAATGGTTCCATAGGATTGAAAATCAATGAACTGGGTTTATATGTGAAGGTGTTGTTGTTCAATTGTAAAGACAAGGATTAGAAATGTAATAATTAAGTATGGAGTCTATCGAAACCAGTGAGGAGATCGATACAGTGGAATAAAAGGCAAGATAAATGAGTCAGTAGGGTAAGGACATTAACTGCTGGAGAGAAGGCGCAGCTCAAAAGCGGACTAAATGTGTTTCAAATTATTTCTATGCAACTTGCAAGTCAGGGTTGCTGTAATCATTGTTTTCAGTTTCACAGTAAGGGGGAGCATTTGGGAGTAGTATTAGTGGTTTGGTAGGAGAAAAAGTCTCATATAAAAAAAAAAAATTTCCTTTTTGAGTACTTAAAGGTCTGTACAAAATGAAAAAAACTAAGAAGAAAATATAGATGATGGTTGGATCTCACTAGACTAGAACGGTACTGTGAATACTTGGATCCAATACAGGTGGAGGCTGGGCAATGTCAGGTTTCTGTTGCCACGATCCCTGTTATGGTCGCCTTGCGAATTTGTGTTTGTGATCTGTACAAAAGGTAGCTGGTTGGAGGGATCGTGGGGAGAGCAGTGCTGCTTGGAATAAACGCTGGGCTCTCTTGCAGGGTACAGATGCATGATACAGTTCACCAGGGGGCTGCGCGCTTGGGATCGATATCCCTTCAAAGGCCCTCTGATGATGGCCAAAGAGAAGGAAATATATTTTGTGTAAATAGAATAGAAACCAGCAGCAATTTTCTTATTTCTGGAAGATCCAAGACCTGAATCTATGTTGACGGCATTAAGCATATAATAATAATAAAAAAAATAAAATAAAAAAAAAAATTAAAAAAATTAAGTATATAAAGAAATTTTGGTTTTATTTAACAGTTGGATTACTTGTCTTGATAACTTATGGTGTAAGTGTGTGTATTGTCAGATCTGTTATGGATTCTAATTTTATATAGCCTACTGGTTTGGCTTTCTCTCCTTTTATTTAAACCCTTTCTCCTTTTTACAGGAATATATATACCCAGATGCCAGAGACAGGCAGTACTTAAATTTTTTCCATAAAGGAGCCAAAAACATATCTTTTGACATAGAAGAATATAATCGACTCAAGCATGCTATTGCTCAGGTACAATGTTAAATGTAATCCTATAGCGCTTGTAACATTTATAGTTCTGTAGTATTGTGTATAAAGTGGCGCTGTCCCTATATTTCTTTTAAAAGGTCCACTGAGAACCATTTCTACAGCAAATAAATATTATTACCAAAGCTGTTTAAGTTTATCTTCTATTAACAGCAATTATCAGCAAAAGAAGTGGTAATTTTCGAAATCCGTCAGTTTTCATTGTTTGTTAATGTTTAAATAAAAGAATATGTGATTTAATTTGCCTATCGCTATGTAGAACAGTGGTGCCCAAAAGGTAGATCCCCAGATGTTTTAAAACGACAGCTTCTAAAGGCATGCACAGGATCATGGGAGTTGTATTTCTAAAACATCTGGGGATCTACCTTTTTGGCACCCCGATTTAAAATATGCTCGGTAGTACTCTGCTTTTACCTGTGCGTGAGAGATGCTTCACACCTTGGCAAAAAGTCAGTGTTTGTTAGGAATCTACAAGCTACAGAACAGATTTAAAATGGTCAGCATAAGCTATAGGCACTTTTAACTGTGCTTCACTCTTTTATTTGACAGCAGAGGCAGTTTAATACGCCAAGTACGACAAATGTGAAAACTATTTTAACATCTTTCCAGCATTGCATCAGATAAAAATGTACAAAATTAATATATAGATTTTTATTTTATTTTTTTATTTTTTATGAATATAAATAACATGCATCTTTTCTTCTTGCAGGCTGAGCTGGACCTTAAAAGACTGCGTGATCCCCTCCAGGTGCAACTTCCAATCCAACAAATTAATGATAAGGATTGATAGTCTTATTACTCTTAATCCCCAGCAGAACCTGTGGATAACCCTTGCCTTTCAATTAAAAGCATTACAGGTGGTAGCTGGGACGTGATATTGAGATGGATGTTCTTTCTTTTTCTTTTTTTCTTTTTCTTTTTTTCCTTTTATTTGTTACATTTTTAGCTAATGTTAAAGAAGAGAGGATTAAAAATGGAATCTAATCAAAGCATGGGGCCTTGACATTGTTAAAAGCCTCTCTGTAAGGGCTTGGGGAAAATAGTCTTATATAAAACATATCTATCTTTTTATTTTTCTGTCGATGGGAAAAAAATGCATTACGAAATACATGGTCGAGGGTTCTGAACAAGTTGCAATGTTTCTTTTACTTTGTTTACTTTAATTTTCATGTTTTTATGGTCAGTTAAGAATGTGGCAGAGGTGCCTACAAAACATATCAGAATCATGGTCTGCCAAAACGGTGGGGACAAACAAGTAATATAGCGCACAATTTATGCCATTGGAGAGGAGTGTTGGACCAGAAGTAACCTCAGCATTACGTTTACCTCTAATTTTGCGAGGTGAATTGTTGCAATGACGTTGAGGCACTATTGAGCCTTCCTGTCCTTTGATAAACTCCGCGTTTGTGCACATTGCCTTTCCATGTATAGATTAAACACTGTTCAATTTTAATTCAAGTTCCAGACACAATGAAAACCTTCTGCTATGCATTTTAAGAAATCGCACGTGATTTTCTCGTAATCACTTTCAAAATGTTCCTCCCCCTCGTCTCTCCCACTGCCCTGGCTGTATACCCCAGTGGCTCAATGCATGATAGGTTTTAAGTCTGTTCTTTTTGGGAGGGAGGCTTCCCCTGTCCCTCACAACTTGGTAGGTGGTTCACTTGGGTAGTGACTAAAGATTGCATGAATGTACGAAGGGTTGCCATCTTCTGGTGCGTTAACCCGACCATTAAATATCTTTACAAAGGTTATTATCTTCTGGCTCGTCCCTCAAGGGATCTGTCCCCCTGAAAGACTTTGGTTTTTACAGACTTTCGGATTTGTCCATGTTCTGTTTTAACTACACATCGCCGAAGAACCGAAGAGTGGCAAGACCTGAGATATCGCCTCTATCTTTGTTCCAAAGATTTCAAGGGGATTTATTTTCCTTTTCTTTCCTTTTGGAATAAGCTGCTCTTCCACAGACTTTCTATATCAAAATGGTGCAGTTTCTCTCTTCGGGGTTGGCATGAATGGTACTGAGAGATTGGGGCTACAAAGTTTAACTTTACAGAGACATATTTTTTTTTAGCACTCCCCACTGTGAAAGGCTCCTACTTCAGGAATAGAATTATAGAACTAAAGAAGTGAAGCCAGATTTCTGGTGCCTTGAATATGCTGAAGAGCGGAGATTAAATAAAGATCACGTTATTTGACATGGCAAAGCAAGTAATCCTTATACATCAGACATCAGATCATCTTCCTAGACCAACTTCCTTAACCAACCACATGGATCACAGCTGGCTTATCCTGCAAAAAATTTACTTTGAATAATTGAGTAATCTAGAGCTCTCCTTGCAAATGATATAGAATTTTCTCATTTTATTCCATTATGATTTTTTCCAATTTTTTATTTTTTTTATTTTAACTTTTGAAAAAGTGCTGTTCTCTGCAAAACCAATGTGAACCAAGAAAGAGATCTATTTAATAGGCTTGGATTAGATGGTGTAGGTTATTTGGTACTGTGGTGCATTACACTGCGTATTATGTCAGCCTTTCTGCTAAACTGTGTCCTTACTATTCAGAATCCCCACTCTGCATGCAAGTGTATGCACCTGAAGTGTCTGCAATAGAGCGAGCGAGACTGACAATCATCCCTGTCAAATTACCCCCAGGTGTTAAAAATCGTCTTTTGACTGTCTTGGAAGAAGAGCTTTTAAAATGTAGAGAAATATTCCTCATGTAGGGGTCACCGTTAATCCCTTTTAACTATGACACTGCTTGGATCACTGTGGTTGTTAAGAGAGTTGCTCTTTTAACACTAACTCAGCCTGAGTTTTTCTTTTACCGTTTGCACTCTTTATTGCTAATGAAGCGGGGAATAGATGCACTTTGTAGCCCTCAAAGTAACAGATGTATTCTGTGCGTACAAGGGATATCAAAAAAGGACCATGTAAAAACAGCACTTGTGTTGTAAAGGTCCACGTGTGTCAGTGTGTGTAGGGAGGTTTGGAGCATGGAGGAATGTCCTATCAATAAACAAAATATTAAAAAAAAAAAAAGTGTAAAATCCTGTATCATTTATGAAATATGTATAAAAGATTTAAAAAAAGAGTAATTCTGCAACAATAAACATTTATTCAGTTTTTGAAGTAAAGGCTTGAGTGTTTAATTGAGCCTCCCTTTTTCAGTGATGTAAAAGCACATTTCAGACTTTTGATATGTATGACAATGATAAAAAAAAAAATCACTTTTGAAAATGTAATCTGCCGTCAGCTAACTCTGACAATAGTTATGTATATATCTGCGGATGCCATTTGGAGGTTAATAAGAAGTGTTCAATATCTGTCTACATACAGTCATTGGGAAAAGAAAGTACACCCATTTTGAATCCTTTGGTTTTGCATATCAGGACATAATAATCATCTGTTCCTTAGCAGGTCTTAAAATTGGGTAAATACAACCTCAGATAAAAAAAACCACATGATGTATTACACCGTATCATGATTTATTTAAGAAAAATTAAGCCGCCATCTGTGGAAAAACTGGGAAGGGTTATCAGGCAATTCCCAAACAATTTAAAATTCATCATTTTACAGTTAGCAAGTGGGAAAGCCTTTCATCCCTAAAAAGCAATAAAGCCCCAGGCTTGGACGGCTACAAGGGAAGCTACTACAAAACCTTCCACGAGGAACTGCTCCCACACATGGAAACCCTATTCCAAGATCTAATGAAAGGGACCCCACCTACTAAAGACATGACACAAGCACACATAATACTCCTACCCAAACCAGACAAAGACCATACCCAACCAGAGGCATACCGACCCATTTCACTCATAAATCATGACAGCAAAATTCTGGCCAAAATATTGGCAACACGACGTAACCCATACTTAACTCGCCTCATTCACGCAGACCAAGTGGGGTTCATCCCCGGCAAACCGTTATCTGAAAATACAAGACGAACATTGACACAATCTGGACGCTCACTACAACCAAAACACCATCGCTAGCCCTCTCACTTGACGCTGAAAAAGTGTTTGACCGTGTAAACTGGCCCTACATGTTCACATTACTGGAACACATAAACATACCCCCTTCCTTCATCATGGCAGTACGAGCACTATATACCAACGTGACCGCACAAATAAAGATGACTGGGTCAAGCAGCCCACAATTCAACATGTATAATGGCACCCAACAAGGATGCCCCCTCTCCCCGCTGCTCTTTGTATTAACTCTCAAACCCCACCTCCAGGCAATTAGCGAACACCCCGAAATTACAGGAGCTATGATAGCAGACCAAGAGTTCCTCGTATCAGGATACGCAGACGATGTCCTCCTCACCTTGACTAACCCCACCACTTCCATGCAAGCACTAATGCCCCTCCTGCGGACATATAGCGCACTATCCGGATACAAGGTTAATATGGAGAAATCCAGTGCCCTCCCGCTCCACATCACACAGAGATCACCCAAATCACCTCAGATTACTGCATACGCATATCACCCACCTATCTCTCATACCTCGGTATTAAATTACCGGCAGACCCCTTGGCACTTCACAGACTAAATTATACCCCCATGATAACCAAACTTATATCGGACATGGAGACCAGGGCGGACAAACCAATATCATGGATCGGGAGGATTCATCCAGTCAAGATGAATGTCTTACCCTGCATCCTGTTCCTGTTCCAGGCCTTACCCATCCCCATAACGAAGCACGACCTAACGCCATTACAGTGGACAATTGATCGCTTCATTTGGAAAACCAAGAGACCTAGAGTAGCCCGCAATATACTATACCGTCCCAAAGTGAGAGGAGGCTTGGGCCTACCACACCTACACTTCTATTACATAGGAGCCCACCTGACACAAATAGCAATGTGGCATAACCCCCCAGAAACCAGGAGGTGGGTCGACTTGGAATCTCTGCTCATGAAATCAGATCTCCCCGAAGGAGCACTCCTGAAAACCACATGCCCAGCCATCACTAACTCGATCCAATTATGGGACAAAAATGCCATAAAATACAAACTAACAACCGCAACCTCCCCCCTCACTCCCATATACCGAAACAGGGCTTTTACTCCAGGCATGAGACCTAGGGACTTCAAATGCCTAGAAAGTGCCGACCTTAGACGGGTCTGTCACGAACGCACACTACTCCAAGAGTGCGCGTGACGTAGTTGTGGTTGTGAAAGGGTTAAAGTTCACTATTTGTCTGCACTAGACCGGAAATAATGACAAAATCCCCCTTTAACACCACCCACACTTAAACATAATAATACAACTATTACTATTTTAACGCTGCCACCACCAAGACTATTTATAAATCAATAATAAAACCCACCAAATATTACTTAGCACAATATTTAAGGAATTATTAAAATACTAACTAGTCTCTTCAGGTAACGTGATTCTTAACCAGACAAAGGCAAAACTTAATAAATTAATGTTTATTATGAGCAAAAGATAGTCACAGTGCATATAACAATATATGATAAACAAATTATTTACACCAACAACAGATAAAAACAAAAGGGATAAAATACAGAAGTCCTAATTACTCACTTAGGTTTTCAAAGTACAACTTCTGTCCAGGGGGTCTCTGGCAAGGAAAGATGGTGACTCACTCAAAATTAGATCTTGGCTCCAAGCAAGTATACAAACACCCTTCAGAATCACAGGAGATATACCCTATGAATTGCCACGCCTCATCCAGGGGTGGAGCAATAGGGATACTAAGTGACCACCTCCTTTGTTCCAGAAACCAACAAGCCACATACAGACTTTTGGT